TGAATATTTTGTCATTTTTGGTAAAAAATTATATTTTCAAGTTCTTGTTAAAAAACGCAAGTCCAATTGCTTTGATATTACATATATAGGTACTACATGTGGATCTCTCTCAGATTTGTTCATTTTGTAATGATATCTTCAATTCTCTAATTTTGGTGAACATTTTTGTCATTTTTGGTAAAAAATTATATTTTCGACTTCATGTTAAAAACCACAAGTCCAATTGCTTTGATATTACATATATAGGTACTACATGTGGACCTATCTCGGATTTGTTCATTTTGTAATGATATCTTTAATTCTCTAATTTTGGTGAATACTTTTGTCATTTTTTGGTAAAAAGTGATGTTTTCGACTTCTTGTAAAAAATCACAATTCCAATTGCTTTGATATTACATATATAGGTACTACATGTGGACCACTCTCAAATTTGTTTATTTCATGATATTTTAAATTCTCTAATTTTGATGAGTATTTTTATCATTTTTGATAAAAAGTGATATTTTCTTCTTGTTAAAAACCACAATCATTTATGGTGAAAAATGATATTTTTGAATTCTTGTTGAAAACAGCAAGTCCCATTGCTTTGATACTATACATATTGTTCATTTTCTAATAATATCTTCTGTTCTGTAATTGAAATGTGCATTGCTAACAGCGGAGCTATCTCAGCCGAGAGGCTGCTTGTTTTTCTTTGCACGCAAGTGGCTGTGGTCGGACATCAGGTTTTCGTACAGAGTGATGCATCGTCGCAAATTTATTATCCTAACCACAGTCCGTGTCCCAACTATTGCCAACTATTGCTTGTCATTACGGAATGCTCAGGTTTGTGCTTTATGGAAGCAAGTCTGACTGGCCCGTTATATACTTTGATGCTTATGGGTATTAGTGCTTGTATCTACGATAGGCTATGCAAGTGATTAACAGGACTCATTTGCATAGTCACACCTCCAATAAACACTTGCCCGGGGCAAGTGAATTGGGTATTTAAGAACAATTTAAGAATGATTTCAGCCAATCAGATCATCGCGTTGGCTAAATTTAAGAACACGACAGCCAATGAGTGATGCGAATTGTTCTTAAATTTAAATGGCGTAGAGGGCGCTTCTCTAACGTTTCAAACTGAAAATGGTAGCTACTGGTCGCTTGGCATTACATAATTTTCTCGAGTTTACGTTCTATTTCCGTCGTTGGTTTTTAATATCTTAACAGAGATTAGCTCCAGTGGAGGTAGGGCTTGTACAGTTATCATTAATACGTACTTTATTTGAGTGAATCTCGTTTATTTTGTGTGAATCTGAGGCTCGATTTTTGCGAAATTCCGGGACTTCTTCAAATTTCAAAAAAAGACTGAAAAAACTGCGACGACGGCTTTACGGCGAATTTTTCCAGTATTTCAGAATTGTGATTATGTGTAAGCAATGCTGACCAACTGTTCGATTTGAGTACCCAATACGAAAGTGGGATGAGTAATTCTGAACAAAACGATGATAATGATCGTCGAGGACACCGTTCTAGGCCACTCAGTCAGTTGGTGGGTGGTCGTCGGTAATGCTCCAGTCAATGTCAACCCCCACCCTCCCCACCTTAGGGTTCAGTGGGGGATTTGGAAATTATTGTTGTAGAATTTGACAAATGCCCCACCTCCTAGGGCAAGAAGGATAGGCAAATCACCACC